TAGCACAGTGGGTTTATCTTGACTCAGCAAGATTTCCAGCACTCACATTTATATGTTTGTGACAGGATGCTTCCTAAATGAAGCATTTGCCTTCTGGAGAACTACAGCCACATAGATTTCATTTTTCCTGACGTCTGTCAATATCATGAACTTTATTAACAAATTCAAATTCAAATTCAAAAACAATTTCACTTCAAGAAAGCTGTCCAAGTTAGTTCTTGCTCATTTCTTACATATGAGGATATCTACAAAACCACAGATGCCCAACAATGAATTTTAATCGATGTGTGCATTTGTTTATATATATGCATCCATTTCATACCAAGAACAATTAGCAGATTAGAGACAAAATAAAATGAAGGAGCTCTTTAAGAGGAATTTGAGCTCTCATTGTAGGGGTCAGTGCAATGGATTTAACTCACCGTTTCAGAATTTCTCATAGCATAATATTATAATAAAGTCTTGCTAGCTGTCTTTTACATTACTACAAATAGAACAAACAGCTTTCTATTCTTTATAGACGTCTGATGCCAATCAAATTGCAATAACTAAACATATATCAAAGATGCTTATTTTGGCCCCTACACTTTTGTATTGATTTTAATTCAAAAGTCCCTATGCCACAGAAGTCAAGACTTGAACATGGAACAATGGCAGGATATGATCAGCTTTCTCCATATGAGACATACAAATATTTAACAGCCTTGCAAAACTGCAATGACAATCTGTCAGCCTAGGAAGACTATCTGTTTATCCACCCTTTACCCTGAGGAATGATAGTACTTAAAAAAAAAAAAAAATCCTTCTATGAGCAGCTAAAATTTTGAAAGTCAAATACTGAAATGTGTGCTTGGTTGTGGGCATAATGCATGAAGCAAGGACTAAACTCAAACCTTGAATGCAAAACTCCATTCTACACTAAAGAAGAAGTCTAACTTGGTAGTATCATAAATGTGTTTCTACTCTTCTGTTTGCATTTACTTATAGGAGCGTACTCCTGTAAGAAAAAAATCCGGTGGCAACTTACCAGATTTTGAACTACAATTACATACACACACACATATCTCCCCACACACATATATAGTGACTATAATGCAGGAAGCATAATCTTTACAAATTGTGTTTATCCGTGAATTGTCGTTCCACTTAATTTTGCAACAATTCTGATGAAAAACTACCACACCTTTTTCAAATCAGCTGAGATTATATTAACAGAAATACCTCTTTTCTTTTTTTAGTTTCTCTCAATAGGCAGCTTAGTAAAAACTTGCATTAAATAATTGGAATTTTATTTCAAGTAGCAAAAAGTTTTAGTATTTCTAAGTTTTGGAAGAATCCATCTGGAAGAGACTAAAGTCTGGTTTTGAAGAAATCAAATATGCAAGCTGCTTAGAGATCCATTGCTACATATCTAAATTAGGAATTGAAAAAAAAAAATAGAGATTTACAGATCTGATTCCATTTTGTTATCCTTTATAAGATCCTGTATACTGTGCTGGAACTCTAACTTACTCCAAAGACAGTTCTTCGCACAGACAGCTTGTTCTATTATGCTCATAAATTGTAAAGTTAAACATTAAATATTGCTTCTGATACCTAACTGAAGGATAGAACATTGTTATCCCTACAGCTGTGTACAGATCACATCCTCCAAAGCTTAGCGTGCCCTACTAGGGACATCACAGAACAACAGGCCCGAGAGGCCAGTCCATGCTTTTTCTCTGAGGCAAGTTTAAGTACACTTATATCATCCCTGACAGGTATATTTTGAAATATTTTTGAAAACCTTTAATGAAGGAGATTTCAGAACCTTTCTTATCCCAGCATAAGGGTGTAGATATTTCCCCTTAATATCCAGTCTAAACATTTTCTGACTTCTTCAGTTTACTTTTGTGTCCAATATGCAAATCAGAGTCCTTAGATATTTGCATCACATATTCTTAAAGGAAGAGGCAAACACAAAAGCTAGTGCTTAAAGGCATTTACATACCTATCACTGCAGATAGGCACCTAGTAGCATGATGAAATATATGCGAGATGCTGAACAAGTCAATCTGAACAGGAGCTGGCTGGGTGCGACAGGTATCTTCCCCACTGAAACAAACAAGCAGGGAAGAAACTGAGCTTCTGTGCTGCCCAACACGCTTCTCAGCACTTCTCAGAGGACACAGCAGCTAGGCTCTGTTTTCTAATGGTGTGTCCTAAAGCTTGTGTCGTCAGATGTTACCGTTCTGAAATTCACAGTGGATTTGCTGGGGAAATCAGCAAAAGCTACGTCTTTAAATATCTTGGGAGCCCAGGCTGTACTACTTAAAAACTTCCTTTTAACCAGCAGTCCTGCATCCTATCACGGTTCCCTCTGGGACTCTCCCAGTGAACTCAGAAGGATTTCTGTGCATACATGGACCAATGTCTACCTTATCTAACATTTAAAAAAAAAAAAAAGGAAAAGGAAATGGGTATGTATATCACATACACTGTTCATGAAAATAGTTCAGTTATGGAAATGAATGACAGGGTATGATATGGTTCAGTTTTTCAGAAAAAATGGCATGCAAAATGGGAAGGCAATTTCATTCAATAAAGACACTTCAACTGTCCATGAAACAGAAAGGAAAAAGATTTCCTTTTCCTCCCAAAGACTGAAAACAATCTTAATTTACAGTATTTGTCTAATATTAAAGAGATACTTGGAAATAAAGAAAAAACAGTTCTAAGAAGGGCAAAGACTTTCTTGCTTTAAAAGCAGAAACAAGAATTTAACAAACTCATTGAAATATTTGTCACAAATTTCATTGCTTTTCTTCATAAAATTAACAAAGCCTGTAGGTGACTAAAAGTCCCGCTACCTACAGCTAGAGAAAAGTTTCACTGCTGTGTGTTTGCTCAAAGCAATAGCTATTGTTGGTGCTTTTTTTTTGATTGTGTTTTATATAATACACATATTAAAAAGGATCCTGCAAAATGTTTTGTAGTTCTACAAATGTGCTAGTTGTACACATTAAAAGTGTTTAACAAGCATATTTTTTTGTTCAGATTATTAAATTAACAACTTCAGGGCTCGATCCAGTAGCTGTTTGTACAAAGAGCTCTCACAAATTGATCAGGAGTCTTGTTTGGATCCATAGCAGGATGGTTTCCATACAGATGATTCGTATACTTCCATCTAATAGAAACTGGCATTATAAACAACCCCCCCCCCAACAAAACCCCAAAAAGGAAGACACCCAAACTCTATTACGACATAGCAGTAGCTAAATTCAGCTTCTCACATATTCATCCTGTGGCAGCATTGGTGGGGATATCAGAATTTCTATAGAACAGCATGATCCAAATTCCACTGCAATCAATGAGAGGTTTTCTCTTGTCTTAATATTGAATCATCACTAAGAATTTGTTCAAATTTGGCTAGACGTTGGTTGATAACACAGTGTTCTCTCCTTTCTTTCAATATTTGACATATTAAGATACAGTGGGGAAAAAAACACAATACAAAAAGAAAAAAAAAAGAAAAAAACATTTTACTAGATTTTTACATTTAGTAAATGGTACTTAAACTCCATGGACATGAAAGTAATTTTAAACTTTAACTTTGAAATTTTACCTTTTTCAACATTTCATAGAAAAGAAACACTCTAAGATACGGTCTCAGACCACAGAATTATTACAGAACATAAAGATTATATGCAAGGGCTTAATCCTTTTCCCAACGAAGATGGTAGCCAACTCCATTTTAACTCCAAATTGGAGAGGGGTCAGCTGAGAATGTGCCATGTTCCTAATTTCAAATCTCCTTTGTGATAAAAGAGTCAATAGTTTGGCATATACTTTGCCTTTGTAATTTGAGTTCTATCAACAACTATTCCTAGCCACAAGAGAAATATTTTTAGGCAATATATTTGTATAGTTTCACAAAACTATGTCAGAGAGAGATGTGTGGGTGTTTGTGTGTGTATGTACGTATGTATGTATGTATGTATGCATACTTATGAGTTTGGGATGATTTTCTTAAAATACTTAACTTCACTTACATTATATCTTACATTGCAAAATGTACAGACACCCAATGTTCTTCTTAACAACATATACAGGTGAGTTTATAGAGCCTTATAAAAGATTCTGTGATTCCAAATTAAAAACCATAGAAATATAATCAAAATAATGGAGAGTGATTTATACCTCTGATAGTACATAGCGCTCATTCTGGTAATATTGACAGCTGCATCTTTGGCATTGAAAATTCATTACATCTTTTAGACAAAATGTTGTTGCTTACAGCTTTTTTTAAAAAAAAAACAAGAGAAACAGGATTGACCAAAATACGAATATTGGGGAACTACTATTACGGGTTTATTTTATTTTTGTTTTTAGCAAGGATATCTTAGGAACCCTGAATTACCTTCTCACTTTAGTATATGGTGTAGACTGTATGAATCCATTTAAAAATCAACTAAGTTGTACCACGTTTTTCGGAAAATTATATATAATATAATATATATATATTTTATATTTATTTAGAAGCTTTGAAATAGTACAGTAAACACTTTGCAACACGGTGTATAAACTACAGAATGTCTTTGATAATTTTGTGGGTCTTCAGATTAACAACATTTTTATGACCCACAGGTGAAAAGAACATGATCACAATCTCTCTTGTAAAGTTGGAATAGTTTGGGGAACACTCGATCACACAAAAATAATATAAAACAGTCAAGTTTAAAACAGTGATATTGCATTTATAATGCACATTTCTTTATCTGTACGATTGGCTTCTTGTGGTGAATATAAACATCTAAAGGGCTCAGTGACATTTTGGAGAGAGAAAGATATATAGTGCTGTAAACAGGCACACACTGATCAGAGAGGCAAGATCAGTTGCCTCTGAAGTTTCTACAGTTCTACACATTTCAACTCATTTCTCAGGCCTGCTGAGAGCAATTAGGTCCTATAGTTGGCCATGATGTCTCCAACAGCACACAGATCCTTCAGTTACACAGAACTGGATGGCCAAGATAATGAAGTTGAAAGTTGATGCTTTTTGTTGGTCGACTTTTGTGCAAATCATGCTGCTTCAGGTAAGTCCTGTAGAAGTGACTAGCATATCCTTTTCCGTGCTGCAGGAAAGAAAGAAAGACACTTCTGAGAGGGAAAAAAAAAATCAGTCTCCAACAGTTCCTAGGTTTAATATTTCTTAGAGTGCAGAGAAAGAATCAAAACTTGTCACAAAGTGTCGCTTAGAATTCCCATTGTAGCCAACAGTTTACTGTTGATTCACTTTTCAGAGAAAAGTATTTTTGAGGTTTGATAGCCTGAAAACCAAACTTCACATGCTGTTTTATTATTCTGTCTAACGTGGCATGGCAAGTATTCCAATGTGCCTATACAGAATCAGTATAAGAACAAGGCAAATAGTCAGACTTGCAGGTTCAATATTACTGGAATTTCCAAGTCTATTTTTTCCTAGTTCAGCTTATTATTTGAAGCAAAATCTAGAATCCCCCAAAGATTCAGAAGCCAGTTTTCCTTCTATTTCAAAGTGAACCATTATCCTCATCACCAAATGACCCTTTAGTCTGGTTTGCCAGAGACGAAAAAATGGAGCATTAGTGCCACAATTCAAATTTCAGCATTTACTGTCAGGCTGGAAATTAACTCGTGTTACACAGATGAAGAAGGTCAATGCATTAGCAAACCCATATCCTAATCCACCAGCTGTGGTAGCTACATTATCTCAAGACACTGGCTATTTTAACTGTAATTGGGAGCAAAGGTAACAAATGATTTGTACCAGCACTCAGGAAGACCCTGGGTTAAATTCTGATCTCAGTCACACATGAAGCTGAGACAAGGAACTAACTCACTTGCTGAAGTAGTAGTAGTATTATTATCATCATTGCTTAGTAAAGCTTGTAATAATAAAATCAGATTTTACCTTAGCTCCAAATCAAGTAAATCTCTACCTGAAATTCAGTGTATTTCTGTGCACGAAGTGTTACAACTAAACCAAAAAGGAATCTTAACTCCAGAACAAATCTTTGAATCAAGCCATCCTTATATACATGTTGATGCTTGCATGCTGACACAAAAACACATCCAGTCTCCGTTCCATTTAACATAAATATATACATTAGCCATACTTATTCACTATATATGTTTGATAGTAAACATGTGAAATGTAGCTACTGTATTAGAGGGAAGTTAGATTACTTACAGGAAAACGTTAACAAGGGTGTTTATGTTCATCTAATCTAGCCTGCCTATGCCATAGGATGCATGCAGAAAAACATGAAAAACATTTATGTATAAGCTATCTGTTCAACATACAGACAATTGCCAGACGTGTTATTAACATTAGAATTAAAACAGCTAATATGTTTTGGATGTTTCAATTCTGTAGCAGATTAGTAGCAGAATTAGAAAGGATTTTTAAAAGTTTCCGCAAGATACTTTTTTAACATTGTAGTTAAGATTAATGAGATCAGAATCTTCATGATGTTTTGATGCAGTGTATAATCAGACCAATCAAGTTCCTAGACATCTTTTAAAATATCTTTTTTAATATTACAAGAAACAATCATTCCAATAATAGTAATAACAATAACAAGACTTATATTTGATCTTCAAAAATTTTTTTTTCAAAAGTTGACTGATAATTTCAGTTCTCTTGTAAATATGTCAGTACAGCAGCCTAGACAGCTGTCTGCCATTGCGGAACTCAAGCTGCAGTACAGACACAGTAGGACTTCTGTGGGAGAAAACTACAGATATGCAGCCAGGGCAATTGCTGCTTTCATGCAGCACGACTGTCCTACTCCTGTCTGACACAGTGCATTGGTGGTGATGAGGTGGCACTTGAGGTGCACAGCAAAATCTGCTTACAATTTCTTACAGATAATATAGAGACTGAGTTACTGGCTGTGTCTAGTCTTTTGCCATGTAAACTACTGCATTTTTAAATTTTTAAACTTCAGTTAATATGCTTGCATTACAAAAAAATCAGGCCATTTTATAGCAATAACTAAATACTACATGTTGGGGTGCAAAAGACTGGCAGCTCTCCCCACCTACAAAAAACCTCGTCCCAAATCCTAAAATATCCTTTGCTAACACATAAAATGCATTGGATTTCAAAGGCAACTTTTGTCCTCCAAGGTGTTTTTTTTTCTGTGTTTGCACAGAAATTTACGTGCAAGCAAATCTCTCCATGTCTATACCAGTTTCCGTCTTTTTACAGATGGGGAATATAAATCAGAGAGGTTAAATGGAAAGGAGGATGGACTTAGCGTAAAACAGAAGGCAACAAAAGTTCTGACACCTGTTTCTGGCTCCGTGTGTGTGCATGCATGTGTGTTCATAAATAAACTTTAACAAGAAACACTAAGCCTCTCTGTATCACGATTTCTCCATCTGCAAAAATGGGAATAATATTGCTTACCTATCTCCTAGAGGTGCAGGAAGGTTTAAATCACTATTCTTTATAATCCACTTTGAGATCCAGAGATGGCAAGTGCTATAGAAATGGAAGTATCAGAGTCAGTGTAAGAGCTGGAACAAGAACACCATAACTTCTGGTGCCTAATATCTCCTCTGAGATCACAGCTCTCTCTTTCATCCCTACTTTATCTCCTGTTCCGAACTCTCAGACTATTGCATAGGGAAGCTTCAAGTCTGTGGGACTACTGGCATTAGAAAGAGGGTTTTAGTAATAAGCAGTTTCATAATTCTGGTTATGTAATTATACTATTTGTACATATATTCTAACAGTGTTTGAGGTGAACAAGATGACTAAAGAACCACAAGTTAAAATTCTTAGTGTACATGACTTGCACTGTACTGACTATTGATCCTTCCCCAAAGACCTTAAGAAAGATTTTGAGTGTTACAGTAAGAATGCTTAATGCATAAAATTTATATGGAATTGTAATAAAAACTGGAAATAAAAAGCAGCAAAAATACATTAAGATTCATTTGTTCCTCAGTACACATTGGTAAGCCTCCCATTCGCAGCGAGCTAGTTCTGTGTAGGCTGATGAGAGAAGATGTGTAAAGACATCGGTGGCAGATGAACAGACAAAGAAATGCAAAACACTAACATAAGAAACAGAAAAGAGAAAATAAAGTATGCAATGATTATTTCTAGTTTACGAATCAGAAATGAACAGAAAATACTGTACAGCCCTAGTCTCTTTAATAAATCTTCCTTACACCCTGTTGTGAATCATCCTACTGCGTCCAACCTTGGTGTCAGACCGCTGCTTTCCAGCCGTGAATACAGCCATGCGCATTTCCTCTTTTGGCAAACCCTAGAATGGATAGCCTGTACTTGGAAGACCTTCAAACTCTCCGAATCGAAATTTTCTCCTGCTTAGTATCACTAGCTAATCTAACTAGGACGGAGAGAAGGCCCACTGCTTCCCCCCACGGCTGGCAACCAATGCAGCAAAAGAAAACACATCCTATACCTTTCATAACTATTGTCACTTTCACGCTACACTACATTTAAGAATTCCACGAACTCCCACAGCATTATATCTGTTCTAACAGAGTGACTGCTGAGTTCCCCCAAGTGCCAAAGGTCTAAAGATCCAAATGAACCCCTAGATAATAAAATCTCCAAAGAATGTCAAATGCCAGGCATGCTGCTGCTGTTACAGAAATACTACTGATCCCCCTTCATGTAGAAGAAAGAAGACACCTGAACCTAAAAAACTGTCTTTTCAATCAAAGCAAGCTATGCAACAGGAGAACAGAGGAAAAAGCCGGTAAGTAAACTGTCATCTTGCTATTTCAGATCCAAATTCTGTAAGTTAGCACCATATCCAATTAATACCTGTTCTCATATGGGCTTTCAGATATGGGCTTCTATGCAAGCACTTGATGCATTACATCTTTTCTTGTGGGTCCCCTGTAAACAACGTGTGCCTCACTGTGCCACGTGTATGCAGACCCAGTGGTCCCCACGTAACACTGCCACCGTTTCAGAGATTAGGGGAGGCTGTAATCTCCTGCATTCCACTCAGAAATAGCCCAGCTATTCAGACTTTACAGTGACTGCCTTTCACTTGTAGTAAACAATAATTTTAAAAGGAGTTAATTACCTAATATACATTATGGCAATGTTGGTTTTAAATCTGCATTATTAATTTTCACTCTCTTTATATTTTTATGGTTTGCTTTACAGTCTATATGTTAACTGTAGCAGATGAAATATTGCCCTTCACTAAGTCCCATTAGCTTTGACAGAGCCAGGAATGGATAATTCTAGTGACAACCAACAGGCTGCAAACTCAGCTTCCTTGTTGTAACTTGGCCCAATTGAACAGAGACCAGGACTTCAGTGGTAGAAGGTATGCTACGTGAAATAACCTGGCTGCTTCAGTTAACCTGGAGCTCTAGTCCAGTTATCAGCAACTGTATTTTTGGAAAGAGGTCAACAAGCAAATGGGAATGCAGAGTAAACTACCATAGCTCCCTCACCCTTTGTAGTGGTGCATCCAGGCAAAGGGTGAGACACGCGGCTGGGGCTGGGGGATGTAGGATGGGGATTACTCTGCTGCCACCCACGTTCTGCGGATAAAAAAGTATTCCGGTCATTGCAGGTGTCAATTCAGTATCTTTCACAATCCATAAAGTCTTTTTTTTTTTCAAATGAGCTATTACTTAAAGAAGTTTTTTTAAGCATTGCTAATAATATTTTATGAAAATTCCACTAATGGCATTATAAAAAGAGCTGGTCTTATCCAATCCGATAAACTTTGGTACACAAATATGAAAATAATATTTTTCTCATGTATCTTTTCCTCATGAATTAGTTTAAGGGGAACTTTTTTTCTTTTCTTTCAAGGCTTTAGTTAAGGGATTTTGTGCTTCAAATCTATGTACTCTGTAGAGCACACTTGGACAAAATACCTTGCGATCCAGATGCCCACGTTACATTTTACACAATTAATGTGGTTTTGTTAACTCTGTATTCCATCAAATAGTTGAAAAAAGGAAGATGGAACATACTTACTCTTACACTTTTTTTTTAAAAAAAAAGCCCAACTCCTCCCTAATGTCAGTGAGTCAGTTGGCTCTGGTGGCCACTGTTTATGTGCTTGAGTGTATGTCTGAAGACTCCTTAAGGCCACCAAGGGAGTTTGGTAAGAATGAGACCACATTCCACCTGGCAATTTCTGGCAGGTGACAAGATAAGGGAGGCAGGACAGGCTCCCGCACGTGAACGTGTAAGTTGCACCAAGGCAGAATTAGTCCCTAATAAAGATATGGAATTCAGTATGACTGAAATGTTCTTGCTGGGGTCTGCAAAACCCAAAATATAAATATTGTTTCTAATATAAACCAACAGAATTTGGACTGATGGGTACAATTGCCTGGATTTCATGTGTAACAAAAAAACAATTGTGAGCATTAGGTCTTCAGGCTGTGAATAAATAAAGTAGGCCAAAATGCAAAATTTGTAATAGTTGCACTGAATCTTTTCTGGAAACAAACTTGCTTTTAGCTAAATAAATAAACCCCACAAACAATTAAAGTCTTTCCTTCCTCTGAGAATACATCTTCACTTCTGGAA